AAAAGGGGACAGAAGAATGTGAGCACAAAATCAAAACTCGCTACAAAAACAAAGCAAAATATCCTCAGAGCCAGTCTTGATGTAAATAGAAAACACTTTCATACATACCAACATTACAGTTTAAGAGAAACACTGTACTCTTAGTTCTATAACACCACCTAGGAACTGTCTGTAGGAGGAGTACTAATGGGTTGAGCCTACTGGTTCTTGCCAGAAGACTGGGCATTTTCACGTAAGAGCGCTCAGAGATGGCACTAATCACTTAAGATGTTTTTAGAATGGCAGAAAGTAATTGCGTTCCCATTACAGGACTCCAAGAACACCCACCTATAACTAACTTTGGCACAATATAAGAAAATAAGCACGTACCTTCGCCAGAAACAAAGACTACGTTCAACAACAGGGCCTGAACTTGTGTAAAGGCAATTAACTTTGCTATCACACTGTGACCATGTTTTTACTGGCTCAGTTCCCACAGACTTCAGTTTTACATGATCCAGTTTAAGCCCGAATTCTCCTGAGAGCATTTAGTCTGTTAGAACGGCTACAGGACCTACACAAACTTGCATAATTAGCAGGGGTTAGCGAACTACCATGGTTTGTATTCTGCTGAGTAACTAATCTGCTTCTAAAATACCGTGGCATCATTCTCATCTCAAAAATAACATTTCTACAGACTAAAAAGCCCACATCTGCCTTCAGTGCGTAGTAATTCAAGTGAGATAACTCAGCCCAGCATAAAGGTGGGGAGGTTTATCTGGAAGTCAGTCTGAAGAGTCTACTTATTGTAAAAGTAATAGGAGATGAAAGGCCTATTTTTATGTCATCCCCAGCAACAAAGACAATTCAACTCTTGCCTGTATTTAAATACCAGTCCTTGAACTCCCAAAGCCTTTGTAAAAGATAAAATCTTTATAAACAAACAGTTGTGTTATCTTGAGTCATGCAGCATCTTCCTTTAAAGTGGTATCAGTTTTTCAGAATAGACACTCCCATGTCTTGAAAAGCAAATCACTAGTAACTTACGCAAAAACTAGATGTAGTTCTTCATAGACCAGTTTCCTTTAGAAAAAAAAATGTTAGCAGATACCTTTCTTAAAGGATCTTCACAAGAAGACTCCTTAGATATGCCTGACCAAAACAGCTTTGTTTCAGTCAATTAGATTTAAAAGTTACCTCAGCACAAAGCATTGTACAAAGAGTAATATTGTTTTCAACTAAGCTCCTACTCCCTAAGGTCACCCACTGATGTTCACAGGCTCTTGAAGGACATCGGACTTGTGCAGAATTTGCAGTCTAGATGAGAACAAATTACACAGAAAAACCCCACCGATTTGCTATATATTCATGTTTCCACTTTAGATCTCAAACTTAATTTAAAATGTGGTTACAGTATGATTTCTGTGTGACAGTTTTATCTTCCCCTACGTCAGGAACAGACGTGAAAAAAGCGCAGGTGCGCTGGGGACAACAGTGGGTTACCATCCTTACTTAAGATGAACGAAGCGAGAGGATTTGTTCTGCCTATAGTAAGAGGGCTAACACACCTTCCAGGTGAGATAATCAATCCTTTAAGATCAACCTATGGTAGTAAGTGATCATTTAAGTCTTACTGACCGCATCTGGCAGAAACCAGGGTTTCTTCACATTTATTACAACAAAATGTTGACTATTACCCACTTTTATACTGCAGGAAGGAACTTACTGAGCTGAAATATAATTATTTTGACAAGTGAGAACATTTTTAAAAGCACCTGCTTGGCTTCAGTTCCATTTCCCATTTTGACAGACTCGGGCACCAAAGCATCCACTTTTCCAGAATAAATCTGTCACTCTTAACAGTGTTAGGTCAGGACTTTAGTGGAAACAAAGGCCTCTTTCATGAGGATCTCTAAAACAAAGACCGGTGGCCAAAATTCTCACTTCTACAGATAGATAACTTAAGGATCTTCCTATAATCCAGAATACACTTAGAGGATGGACTACATACAGAGAAGGTCAGGGTTAAAACCCCTAAAGGAAAACAGAAGTGAGGTAGTTGCACAGATTAGAGAGAGCGCTTCAGTGCTCTGCACAAAGGAAGAATTGAAATCAAGACACTCGGAGAACGCAGGAAGTGAGAACACCAGAAAACCAGAACAAATTCCATGGGTGAACTGGTCCAATTTCTTCGTACAATAACAAGACCCATATTCTTTATTAAACTCTTCTCACAAAACAGAACAATTACTGAAGATAACTAACATGCAGCAACAAAATTAGCTATAGCAAGGGAAAACATCCTCTTTTCTTAATCATTCCACTTCTCCTGCAAAGGTTACCCGTCTGTAACTGCACAGGTTGCCTACCTGCAGCCTGGAACTGGCACAAACTCCTAGCTGGTGATCGGAAGCATTTGCTGAGATGCTGGGCTGCCAAATCCAGTGCTCCACATGCAATGCATTCAATCACCCCTTTGGTGCAGCCGCCACATTAAGCTGATTTTTTTCGTCGCATCCCAGTGGACACATGCAAGTAGCTGGCAGTATGATGGGACTAACTCAGTGAAAGTTTATTAGGAAAGTGATCAGTGTACATATGCACACACGCACACTCTCAACAAGGGTATAAGCAAGAATATGCAGAGCTTGGAGTTCACAGCTTTTCTACCACCCCATGAACACAGTATTGAAGTTGCTGGAAATTCCAGGACAAAGTCAAGAAGCACCTGTCTTTTTCTAAAGAAGTTTCCAAAAGCTTTTTTTTTTTTTTTTGTAAGCAGTAGCTTTAACAGTATTGTTGTGTATTATGACTGCACAGAACCACTGTAGTTTTTCTGTGAGTATACGGAGAACAAGCTTAACAACACATGCTCTTACGGAAGTAGCATTAGTATTTCCTTATGGTTTTACAGAAATAATTTCCGAATTTAGAAAACTAGAAATCCATTTCCCTGCCTCTTTTCCTTGACAACTGCTACTCTAATATACAGGACTGTAATTGCCCCCCTCTAAAACCTGCTCAAGTATACAGCTTAAGCCTTGCAGTCACCTAGTACACCACGTCTGTCTACAGTCTTCTCTCTCTCTCCTTTTATCCTCCAGGCACAAGCAATACCACTCAAGCCTTTCTGTATCTCAGCTCACAGAAGACATCTACATGCCAAATCAATTTATGAGCTGTCCAAAAATTACACTAAAATAGTTGCAGCCTTTTCACCTGCCAATTTAACAGCTTAAATCTTCGCTTCTATGACTTTGTGTAACAACCGCTCATACTGCACCACAGTGTTTTAGACAAAAATGGTTTAACTACTTAATACACTATATTGCAAATATTAAGATAATTTGGAGCATCAAGGAAAATTTTCAGCATTACAGTACCTTATTAAAGTCTAACTATGAATAAAGTTTAGCCTTCTCTCTGGATTTATTTGTATTTCAAAAGCCAAGAGAAAAAGAAAAATGTTACGTATGTACCAGTCACTCCTGTAGAGCAGAATCTGAGTAACCACTGGGAATTTAGCACTGCAGTATTTTCCAGCAATATGCAACATTATACGTTCAGCTGAAAGGGCACTCTAATGCAATATTCAAGCCTGGGTTTTCTTCTGAGCTCTTGGCAAACGTGGGAACTCCACTGCTTCCGAGGAGCTCAATTATTTTTATGTAAGTGACAGCAGGTAGCTATTTAAGTAGATTGTTTTGTTATATATAAATGCCACTACAGACAAGTCTTTGTATGGCTCTGCTTTACTTTTCTGGCTTGGTTTAACCCAAAACATTAGTCCTGGAAAGGCCTAGTTATACCAATAGCATAATTACATTAAAAAAAAAAAAATCCATCTGGTTTTAAGCATGCAAGATCTAGTCAAAGCAAGTATCAATTTCAGCTACAGGGTTTTCAAGCAAAAAGCCTTTGCAAAAGACAATTAAGGTTTCCATCACCCTTCCAGAGGTAACAATGAGAAACAAGTCTAAGCCACAGGAGCATTGGTCTATTTTTGACAGTGGTATTTAAGTATTTATTAAGCTGGTTTTCATCCATTTATTCAGTTGGCCGACATCCATCTGCCACATGTAACATTTGAAAATGCACAGTTAGCAAGCTGCTAAAATAAGGAATCTGGATAGTGTTTGGTTGTGTTTTTCTATTAACATAATAGGCAAGAGCTTCTAGAATTTGTCTTGCTGATATACTTCAACTTTGCCTGAAGCAAGGATGGGAAAAGGTCCCCCCTCCTAGTATAAAATAGCTCAAGTACTAGAAAAAAGCCACATACATTTCTTTAATAGCAATATTTGCATAAGCAGAAAAGAAACGCCCTGTTCCTCATTGTCTCTAGCAATATTCAAGCAAAGTTTTACTTTACGTTTTAAAATACAGACGTGTAATTATTTAGCCAGCAGAACCGTTCTACAAACTGCATCACAGATAATGTTGCACAGCTTATGAGCAAGATCAACACTAAAAGCTAAAATCTTGCTAGTGACAGTGCTAATACAAACTGGCAATTTAACATTTCAGTTCAGAAAACATCCATTCTTCTAAACCCCAGTGATGTATATCATTTATGTAAATATTTATTAGATCCAGTCATCACGCTACAGTATTAGTCAGGTTAATAAACCTCCTCACTGTGAGAATACACCAGCATAAGGTATGAACACAATGAAATCTATTGGAAACGTTATAGTAACTTTCCAGAAATATGCTTGTGGCCCATCAAATTCAGACTAAAGTACTGTAGATTTAAAATATTTGCTTGTCGTCTTAGCATACCCAATGTGTAAGAATAGTTTCTTGTTCCATTTCCAAAAATAAATATAAGCTTTCAATTGAAAGCATTTATTTTCCTGGTTTTCCAAAGCAGAGTCTGGGGGCAGGGGGGAAATGCTTCAGACTTGTCATCAGTCCACTTCGGTACATAAAAGCATCTCCCATCCCAGTATTCGTTCAAATCCAAGAGATATTTTCTTCCAGTGAAATATGACCGGAGCACTCATTTTATTTTCAGCAATTCAGTCTGTTTCCATGGCAGCACTGCGGGATTCCTTAGCCACCATGAGTCGCATTAGCTGACTGTGGAATTTCTCGATCTTCTTTACGTCTTGCGCCTGGTCTGTTCTATACAGCAAACACTGTAAGAGAAAGTTGCTTAATATCAGATTTCATTGAACTGTTTTTATCCTCTTTACAGTTGCAACAAGTTTGTGCTTGGAACATAGAAAACAAGGTAAAGTACTTAAGTATTCATCTGTGGCATGTTGTTACCGTGAGGCAGCACCAGCACATACCTACCCTGTTTTAAAATACACACACGTGTGTTTACATTCAAGTTTCTCCGAAAGGCTCATGCCTTCCATTTTGAAAATAGGGAAGCTCATGATTTATTCTAGTTTCTTCTCTCTCAAAGAAGGGGCTAAAACTTGGGTTTTAAAGCTGTCTTTAAAGCCACCCTTGCTTGTGTTGTCTAAAAACAGAAGCAGATTTTAAACCTGAAATTACTTTCCTATTGCCTACGTTCTGAAAGCAAGTTTATTTTGCCTTTCACAGTCCTTAATGTTACGCTGCCAGTGACATAAAATCAGTTCGGTATTTCCCACTGAAGAGGATCCCCTCCCCCAAGCAAAATCTCTTTCTAAGAGTCCTCAATAAGGAACATAGTATCTGATTAAGATCAAAAGGAACTCCTTCATCTGACAAGCCTGTAAATGCAAAAGGAACAAGAGTAATACGCCAGGGATTTATCACAGAAAGACCACTTAGCTTTTTTGCGGATTAAGTCACTCCTTACACCTGTGCAGCATGAGTATGACTGCCCAGGCTGATTTAACAATGAAAAAACCCCAGAACACTCCATTCTTCAGTGCTGCCAACATGGCAACTTTTGCCAGCGTTAAATTCCTATTTTAATTCAGCGACAAACAGTAGAAAACACAGTTTATTTTTTCCTTCAGCTATATTAGTTCTGCAGGGTTAGCAGCAAGGAAAACTTCCCACCTTTAGAAAAAAAACCCAAACCACAAAACCAACCCAGCCCCCTGTCCCCCCACCAGTGTAACAGCTTCCCGTGGCTGGGCGCAGGCAAGAAGGCCTGTAACCGAAACCAGTCCAAGTTCCTGAATAGCCTGACTCCAGCCTTCCCCTACGGAAGATTTCAGCTTAATCGCCCTTCGCTTCCCCCTGTTATCAGTGCCCCATACTCAATGGCTCACCCACACTAAGCCCTGCTACCCTATCAAGAAGTGTCCTTACTGGAGTTTCACATCTCTCCCAGGTACTGGAAATACCAATGCCAGGCTACTTTTCCTGGAAAGAAGAAATCTGTTTTTTCCAAATCTGAAGAGAAGGGCAGGCTACGGTTTCTTACTCTGGACTGCAGAACAACAACAACTTGCCTATAACATCACCAGCACCGAGAACCTGTCGCTGGCATGCACGTCAGCGTGCGTATGCTGGCGCACGCTGACGCATTTCTACCTGCTGCCCACCATCTCACATCCTACCCCACACATGCTTCTAAGCATCCTCCCAGAGAATTTAGAACAAGGGCAACCAGTAAGCGCAGCTGCTCCGCTCCCTTGCGCAGCAACCCTTGGAAGGACGCTGCAGAACTCCACGTTGTGTGTATGTACCACAGGTTTTACAGAAAGCATAACTGACTCCATATAGGATTTCAGAAGATGGGATCTCTGCACTGCAAGTGAATCTTGTCATTCAGTCTGTCTGACAGCACTCCACCACCTCATAATCACAGATACGGAGCTTAAACTACAGCTGGAAGCTGTCACCACTCTGCACACATTAAAAGGACCACACTCGCATTAGTAAACACATCTGTGTGAAGATACTCCTGAAATACTTCAGCAGAAGCTACCAGTGTACTTCCATGAAGCATTTTCAGATAGACAGAGGGTCCAAGATTGTTGTAGTGCTCGTTTTCCTTGTTTTCATAGAATATTGACACCCATAAGGAACACTGAAGTGTTAAAACTTTTCATGGACTGTGCAGAGTTGAACCACAGGTTAATGTCAGTCACAGACACAGCAGCTAGGGAAGGCTGGGCACAAGTTTTTAGAAAACTATCAGGCACTCCCAAGGCGACGGCTAAGAGCTCACAAGCTGGCAGCGAAATGCAAGTCCCTGAGAGGTACAATAAGCCCTGGAAGGGGAATATATTCTGTACTTACAGCTACATCGTCCGTTACTTTGATACAGAGGTTCCCATCACAATGTCGGTATTTGAGAACAACCCGCACCTGAAATGACAAACATTTTACAGATTAGCACCGACAGCTAACAATTCTCAGAACTTATCCGAAGGAAATCTGCCCAAATTCAGACTGCCTTTTATTAGAATTACGTACTGCTTCATATGTTCACCACCTCTGTGGTGGTCCTCAGTCCTGCTGGCCACTAATCCTACAGCCGGGATGGTTTGGAAGTTGAACCATCACATTTCCTTGCCTAACATATAGTTTAATATGTTATTACAATAGCATCAGGAAGCTTAACATTGGGCATGTTCAAACCCACTATAAATACAGCAACGACAGTTGCAGAGACCTCAGTGACAGGTAAGATAAGCTACAAGAGTCACATCAATACAAGACACCCCCTCGCCACATATCACACTTCTGAAAAACTAAACGGGAACTTGTGTTTGTAGACTTGAAACACTTAAAAACAAAACAGTTCTACTTGAAGACTTGAAGGCTATTAACTAAGTGGGGTAAGGTCAACATTACTGCTTTTTCTTCTACAGTACCCAGACTATTGTCTTAAAAAAGTTGTATTTCCAGTCACTACAGTTAATTCAATGGCTGCACTGAAGCCTACAGACAGATCTGAAGTGTTCTGATGTTTTGCAAGTGGAAAGGGACAGTATAAGAATAACACTTTTAGAGTAACTAAAATCAGAAGACTGGAGAGAGTTTTTGCAAATTAAATTGCTTTCAAGACTCAATAAGGCTAAATTTTCAGTCTGAAAGCAAGCATTCAATTTCTCACCAAAACAGTGACTACTGTAGTCACCTGCCCCGAGTTTTAACCTGTCCACAGTCCTTCTGGACTCTCAAATCAGCCAAGTTCTCAAAACCACAGTGATAAAAATCAACATCCTCAGCAACTCACTGAGCATTAAATGCTTCCTCCTGAATGCAGAGCTGGCCACACAGTCTTCGTACCTATTGTTTCTAGTCTCACCTAGCACCAGTAACTAGAAACAAAGCAAGGTGTCCTTTTGAGAACATTCTGAACTCGCACTATAAACAGGTCTTTGTTGTACAGACTGACCTCTGCTCACGGCCAACAACCTCCTTGACATTTTGAAATTCCTGCTCTGAGATGGATCTTGTCAGCTTTACCCTTCTTGTTCAACAAACTCCCATCTTCCCACCCCAACAGCCGTGTACCAGCACGTCTCTCAACAGAGCAGGCCCAAAAGCACAAGAGAGGCTGCCACAAGCAGCAGGCACGGACTCGATAATTTGCTCCCGCAAAAGGCAAGGCCGCCCACTCACTACCTAGCCTCACCAGCCCACGAGAACACACACTATCTCCCTCCCACAATTCTTCTTATTCCTTCAGTTTCCTGACAAGCCCAATTACATACAAAAGCTTCTTAGGCTAGCTCTCCAGCAAATTAAAAGGAAAGCACTCGTGTTGCGACCCTGGGGCCTATGTAAACTCTTAAGTAGGTAAGTTTATTGCCATGGATAGGAAGAGATTGCCCTTGGGCGTCTCTTAAGGGGAAGAGCAGCTCCTGGCTGCAGTGACATCCCTCCCAAACGCTTTCATTTAATTGGATGTTACAGAGCGTAAGAAAGCAAACCAGGACAATTTATTTTATTATCAGCAAATAAGTGACAATTACATGTGAAGTGGTCAACTGTGCGAGTTAAAGACAGATGTTAAACGCTAATTCTGAAAGTTTCTGTGTCCTCTGTTTTTGGTGAGGAAAACTAGGCCTGTCTCACAGAAGTTTTCTCAGGCATATGAGTTCCACATTACCTTTTGTGCTACTTCTTAGCTAAAATGCAATGCTGACTCTGAAGACTGAAGTTGCTTTTAATGTTTGCACAAACTATACCCCTGAAAAAAAGTTACCAGAAATAAAAAGCAGTCACACACCAAGGAGTTAATTCCTAGAGCAAGTATTCTTTAGGAAGCTAACACCTTCCAGTCTGAAGCGAGGCTGCAGGCAATAATGCAATGTAAGAGCAAATAAAAGCTTTCTCTTAATATTTTAGGAAGACAAATTCAAGCGATACGGTCTTACAGATCGCGAACTCGTACGATAAACCAACTCTCAACACACTCTCCATCCAAGGGAACTCCTTCAATCCCGGTCCCTAACAGCAGGCACGGTGCAGCAAGCACAACGCCTCTGAAGCCGGGTTCTCGAGGGTCAGACACCACCACCTGCACACCATCCCCTGGCCGCGCTCGGGGGCTGCCAACTGAGAAATTCCTCCCGTTTCGTGCAAAGGGAAGCCCGGGTGCCGCACCAGCGAGCAGCCCCCTTCCTCGCTGCTGCTTCCCGGCCCCCCTGCGCAGGACACCGGGGCTGCGCCTCGCCAGACCCCTCCGCCGAGCGCAGCCCG